ACCCTCCATATGTACAGACGTGTCCTTACCCTCCATATGTACAGACCTGTCCTGACTGTCGTTAACCTCCATATGTACAGACCTGTCCTGACTGTCATTACCCTCCATATGTACAGACGTGTCCTTACCCTCCATATGTACAGATGTGTCCTGACTGTCGTTAACCTCCATATGTACAGACCTGTCCTGACTGTCATTACCCTCCATATGTACAGACGTGTCCTTACCCTCCATATGTACAGATGTGTCCTGACTGTCGTTACCCTCCATATGTACAGACGTGTCCTTACCCTCCATATGTACAGACCTGTCCTGACTGTCGTTAACCTCCATATGCACAGACCTGTCCTGACTGTCATTACCCTCCATATGTACAGACCTGTCCTGACTGTCATTACCCTCCATGTGTACAGACGTGTCCTTACCCTCCATATGTACAGATGTGTCCTGACTGTCGTTAACCTCCATATGTACAGATCTGTCCTGACTGTCGTTACCCTCCATATGTACAGACGTGTCCTTACCCTCCATATGTACAGACCTGTCCTGACTGTCGTTAACCTCCATATGTACAGACCTGTCCTGACTGTCCTGACCCTCCATATGTACAGACCTGTCCTGACTGTCATTACCCTCCATATGTACAGACCTGTCCTGTCCTGTCGTTACCCTCCATATGTACAGACGTGTCCTTACCCTCCATATGTACAGATGTGTCCTGACTGTCGTTAACCTCCATATGTACAGATCTGTCCTGACTGTCGTTACCCTCCATATGTACAGACGTGTCCTTACCCTCCATATGTACAGATGTGTCCTAACTGTCTTTACCCTCCATGTGTACAGACCTGTCCTGACTGTCGTTACCCTCCATATGTACAGACCTGTCCTGACTGTCGTTACCCTCCATATGCATGTATATAAAGGGTCTAAACTCTAATTCTGCAATGCGATAGTGTGACTCGCCGAATGTCGATTATTGCAATCTGCAAAAGGATCACAGTGTCACTCTGCGAAGAGTACGACTGCTTATTTATGGTGCAACGTTATCGCCATCTTGAAGCACAGGGAGCCCAGGAACTATTATCAACTGTACACACTCCCTATGAGCTGGGTGGGGGTGGGTGGTTGTTATCGGCTGGTATCCAGTGTAAGAAATAGACAAGGAATGAAGGCTCCAGCCAGCTCATATTTTTTAAACTGGAAAAAACAGACGAACAGAATGAAAAATAAAATTTATAAAAAATACTAGGTTGAAGAATATTAGTTGCTCTTTCAAATTTCGCCAAAGACTTAGCTATATTTTACCTATATCTGCAGAATAAATCAAGAAAACTACACAAATTAACTCCATTTACGAATAATTAGCGGTTTGCCCGGCACAGTTGGAGGCGAAAAACCAATCACAAGACTGGTTACGAACCAGTTGAGCAAGGCTAACCAATCGTGACCTCGATGTGGTTCGTAACCAGTCTTATGATTGGTTGTTGACAAATGCTGAACAGGCCACGCCTCAAACTGTGCCGTGGGATTCAAAGAATATGTTACTTCAGAAATGTGCTATGCAATTGCAATAACCTCTACTACATCTTTAACTGTTATCACTTTCCATTTGTACAGATCTGTTCTGACATGATTGTTACACATAATAATACAATATCACATAATCTTAATTCAGCAATTGACCAGGGCATTCCCTCTGGAGTTGAAGAAGCAATACAGAAAATGAAAAAAGGGGAAAAAGTTGATCTTGATCTCTCATCAAAATATGCATTTGGGAGTGTTGGCAAAGCAGAGTTCAGTATACCTCCCAATGTGAATGTCAGATATCAAGTAGATCTTAAAGACTTTGAAAAGGTTGGTCTATAATCATATTTCGTCGTCATTCCCATGACTCACATGCAGATAATAGCAAAATGTGCTGAGAATTTGTAATAAGTGACTCTGATGTGATCTGAACCAGACAGAAAGTTGAATTATCACTACTCTGGTCTGATCTGAACCAGACAGAATGTTGAATTATCACTACTCTGGTCTGATCTGAACCAGACAGAAAGTTGAATTATCACCACTCTGGTCTGATCTGAACCAGACAGAAAGTTGAATTATCCCCACTCTCGTCTGAAATGAACCAGACAGAAAGTTGAATTATCACCACTCTGGTCTGATCTGAACCAGATAGAAAGTTGAATTATCCCCACTCTCTGAAATGAACCAGACAGAAAGTTGAATTATCCCCACTTTGGTGTGAATTAACAGAGTTGACTTTTTTTATTACATGGGAATTTGAAATACTATTAAATGTTCAATGACTGCATGTACTTATCCCCTATATGACAAAATTTGATCAAACCAATAAACAATGGGATAATTGCATTCTTATTACTGTATACCCTTGCTCTGTTTGCAGCATAGTTTACATTAAAATATGGTGCATTGTGACCAATGACACTGTCACTAATTGTGCTTGGGACTATACCATCAGTGACCATTGAGGGCACCCTAATACAAGTACATGTTTACATGCCTAAGGTTTTTTCTATAGGCTAAGGAATCTTGGGAAATGGACTTGGATGAAAAAATGAAGAGTTCTGAAGTTATTAAAGCAAAGGGCACTGAATATTTTAAGTCTGGAAATTACTTGAAAGCAATCAAACAATATAAAAAAATTGTAGACTATCTGTCTTCAGAGCGAGAAACAGAAATGCCGCCAGAGACCCAAAAAGAATGTGACAAACTTGTACTTGCTGCGAACCTGAATCTAGCAATGTGTTATTTAAAAATTGGGGAAGAAGTGCAAGCTGTTGATGTTTGTGATAAGGTAAGGCTGTCTTCTATGCTAGTTAGACATACATTTTGTATATACACCTACTGTAGTTGTCCGGGTAAGCGTCCATGTTTGGGTTTTTTCCTACATGTGTAATAAATAACAAATCTATTTTTAACTCCCCTGTGCGTAGCACACAATGGGAGTCTTTGCAGTTAGTGTGTGCGTGTCCATCTTTTCCACTGATATCTCAAGATGCATAGATCTGGTTTTGGTAAAAAGCCATGCATATCAATTAGCTGATTTTTAGATGTTCCATGACTGTTCCACTGATATCTAAAGAACCACTCATTAGATTTTGATGAAACTTTGCACACAGATGCTCTGAACTAATGTTTTGGGTAAAAATCTGTGCATATTAATTACCTAATTTGCATAATTAATTTTTAGCTTTTGATATTTCAAGTAGTAATCATCAAATTTCAATGAAACTTGGTACATAGATGTTCTGTTACATTGCGCAGACCTTATTAATTTTACACTGAAATCTGTTCTTATTAATTACCTGATTTGCTTATAATAATTAGTTTTCAGCTTATCTATCTATCGCAAGTACAAGTAATTTTGACATGACTTTTAATGTGTCTCCAATACTCTCAGCACACAAGAGTTCTTTCTAAGCTTTCTTGTTGTGTTAACGGTTGAGTTCCTTGTGATTCTTGAAAAATAAATGTCAACTGCATAAAGCAAAATAGGTAATTTCACATTCTGCCTTCAGGACACCGCTGTTTATGTAATTTACATTTATGTTTCAAGCTTTTTGATCAGAATCATAACAATTAGCAAGTCTACAAAATGTATTTTAAAGCAGAAACGATACCCAGTAGTTCAGCATCATTGGCAATGAAACCAATGTTGCAATATTGTAGCGACCCTTACCTGTGAGAGTCGTTGAAATCGCGTTATTTTGGCTCTATACAATATTTGGTAGCAGCTTGCGAATCCATAACATGTCATTCTTAGCCAATCAGAGTTGTTTGCATGCTGCCTCTTTATTGTGATTAGACGTGCTAAGTCCAAATTGTGTACGACAACATCGACGAAGCTGTAGGGATTTGACTTTGAGGAAAATGGCAATTAATGAACATACAAATAGAGATCTGAGAAATGTTTTCAAACTATGAACGTCATAAATCTATTCATATTAGTTACCTTATTTGCATAAGCTTTTCCATCAATATCTTAATTTTTAATGTGTCTCCAATACTCTCAGCACACAGGAGTTCTTTCTAAGCTTTCTTTGATTAGACTTCTAATGTTGCAACAGAAATAAATGAACAATATGCATGTTTTCATTTGCCATTCATATAACTGTGTTAGTCTTTGCTACATATATTCACTCTGTCAGGCACTGCAGATTGACAACAAAAATGAAAAAGGTTATTTCAGAAGAGGAAGTGCCAGACTAATACAAAATGAGTTGCAACTGGCAGCAGAAGATTTCCAAACTGTTTTAGAACTTGAACCTAATAACAAAGCTGCCAAGAATCAGCTGATATTGGTTTGTAAAAAAATGAAATTACAAAAAGAGCAAGAGAGAAAGACTTATGGTAATATGTTCACTAGATTTGCTGAGCAAGATGCAAAGGTAGGTTAGATGATATTACATTCAGTCTAAATGATCTACAACAGTACCAATATGTATATATTACCAGAAAAATTATCATTGTTACAGGCTGAAGCTAAGAAGAAAACAGAAATAATTAAGAAACCAGACACCAAACCTGATGAAACAGAAAATGTAAATGAAGACTTGGAAATGGAAGATGAAAGCCCTGAAACCAATGAGAATACTGTGTGATAATATTTGCAGCCTTACTGACTACACTTTTATCCCTCAAGCAGTGTAATTTTCCCAGAATGATTCAGCAACAAGTTGTTTCTGTACAAAAATTTACATAATTGATTATTGGAACTGGGGAGAGGGGGGGGGGGGTATAAAAGTCAGATAACCACTGCCCCCTCATTTATTACACTGGGTGCCATGTAAACCAAAATTGCAAAACAGTGAGTGTGCTGGATCATACCATTATCTAAGGGGGTGCAAGTTGGAAAATACAAATCTAAATCATAAATGGTTTACACAACCCACAAAAATACCAGTTTCAAGTAATCTTGATTAGATAACATTTCTGAATTAGACATGAGTGACTTGTATCACAACCGCTATTGAGAAAATTCATACTGCATCCCATTTTTTTTCAAAATGTAAAAACATTGCAATGATTTTTCATGTGAAATTTTGTTATAACATTTGTTGATAAGGTAAGAAGCTATAGGAAACAAAGAAATGCTTGGTAAAATTGGCAGATGAAAATCCCTAAATCACATGAGTGTTGTCAGTGGAGCTAAAATTGCAGTATTTGGGTTTTTTTTGCCTAAAGGCTCTTGGCCAATCAATAATGGTGAGGCAATTGGTGTTGTATGTTAGTTTGACCCCGAAGATGCACTTCAATTATTGAATAGCTTTTGAAAATATGTCAACTAAAAAAACACAATAATTTGAAAGCCAATTTTTCATTCTTTCAAAATTGGCTGAAACATGATGTTCAAATACAAGTCTGATCTATAAACTGTCATGCTTTGTTTATTATTCAAACATCAACATTGTATTGTCATGAGTTAATCTTTGAAACTTGTACACACACTGATTAAACTTGTACACACACTGATTAAACTTGGGTTCTTCATTTTTGCTGATAATAGTGAGCTTGCACTGCATTTTAACACGCTTAGGAAACTCTCACTTCTTTTGTTAAGATGCATTTGAAACAAACAACTATCATTGTTTTCGAGAACAACAAAACCTTCGTACAGAAGTCGTTCGGCTTAATGAGCTTTATTTTTTTCAATTTTGTGGACACACATGGAAAACAAACGGCACTAGCAATATAAGCAATGATGTCATAGTGGTTGGACACGCATCAAACTGAAGTCTATGGATAATTAGCAATAGTTTCTTAAATGTTCTTCTAGTAACCGTGATTTTATCCAATTTACACAAAAACAACACAAATAATACTCTTGCTACATTAACTGCAGTGAACTAAAATGCGGTTAGTCAATTTGGTAGGAATGTTCCTAGCTAATCAGCATCAATTACATTTACTTGAAAACTGCACCCATCATGCTACATAAAATTAAACCTAGATTGCCTCCTATAAAACATTGCTTGTCGATAGCCCAGCTAGTGAGCAATTTCGATAAAGAAAAGACTGTAAAAATTGTTTAAACTTTGTCCCTTAAAACAAAAATAATTCGTTGCTGGGGTGGGAAATGCACTGGCGCATTCAGGTACAGATTTTGATGCCCACATATCTCGTTGTGTGCTTCCTTGGCAAAGTAAGTAGAATTTGAAAGCTGGCAAGCTACATACTTCACAGAGTATTAGTATGACCAGGTGCATTGAAATCTGACTACAAAACAGGAATTAAAAGTGATTTGTACACACGTTTGTAATACTGATTTAGAAAGGAACATTAATGCCTTATGTCATTAGTTTTACATTTTTCAAATATACTAGGGGTAGTAATAATCTTTGACATTCAGATGTAGACTACCAGTAATGTGGATGAACTTTCAGTCAGAATTTGTGATATAAACTGCACATAAATTAACAGGTTCCAGTTCCACTTCAGGACTTGATAAACATGAAGCAGATGTCTGTTTTTCCATCTATAATAGAACAAAAACACAACAAGCCATGATGTATATCTTAATGTTAAAATTCAAGACGTATACTAGTATATAAACTTTGAATATTATCAGAACAGCTGCTGCCATTTTAAATCCATCCCATAATGTATGTCAGAAATATAGCTCTGCAACAGCACTTGTTGAAAACAAAACAACAGATCTCATTATGTACAATGTTTGGCAGAAAGGCTGTCATTCAGCAGTCTTCAAAACGAAATGACTGCCACCAGTGAGTGTGAGATTGTTAAAAACAATGCAAATGCATGCATTTTCATACTGTCGCTATAAGTGGACCAGGCATGTTTGGTTTGGGCTTCTAACAGTATGTGCCCCTCTCCCCATAGTATATATTCTTTTTCACAGTGATCAAAATGCCATGGGCAAGTTCATGTTCAATAAACTTAAGGGCAAGGAGTCCAGTGACTATTTTGAACTAGTGTACTGTTAATCATGATTTAATATCAAATAAAATATAAGGAGTTGGGCTTTCTTGTAAATTTGTTTTTAAGGTGGGTTCTTCCCAATCTGATTCAAATGCATTTTGACAAATAGGTTGTACAAACAGTAACATTGCATGCACTGCTTGTAATCTTGCCCACTGTGAGGAAAACGTTCAATGCTTACCTGCGATTTCCTTAATGGTGTTGGAGTGTGGAAAGATTTAAATGAATACTGTGTTCTTGCATGACTGAAATGAAATAAGTTTTTTAACAGTAATACAGACACATCATAATAAAAACTGAAATGAGTTGGCCATCTGTTGTAAAGTTTGATTGCGATTAGTCTGTTTCAGAGGTAGCTCTAAAACAGCATCATGAAACAGAAAAACATTATTGTATCGTTGTATACCAAGATCAGGATCCATGTCAGAAAAATGGCCAATTTAAATCTGATTCTAAAAACAAATTGACATGAACATGTATGTATCAAACTAGACTAAGAACTGGTTCCGGAATAGAAGAAATTCAAGTAGATATATCAGGCCTGTTTTATCAGTGTATACATTCACTGCTTATTTCTGTGATAATTGGAAGATGTCATGATATCCAAACAGTATTTTTAATGTTTTGTTGTGTCGGCTGTCAACCGACAGTACTCATTCCGCCCAACCTCCCGCTTTTATCATTTTTTTTCCGACCGCTCGCTTTTGTTCGCACGCTCACTCCTGCTATGGCTGGCTTCAGAAACATCGACCGCTGGAGTAACAATGATCGTACATTGTATGTATAAACTTAAGTTTTTATTCGTAATAAATTTAGGTTTTAATGACGATTCAAAACACAACGCCTATTGCTTCTCTGTTTTGGAACAAAGACGCCTTCAAATCACTTGACACATTGTAATGTTTGCTACGCAAGTCGAACTGTGACCTGTATTTACATATTTACGTCCTTGTGTGTGTAGTTCAAGCAGCTATATAACTGGTCAATCGCGATATGTATTGAGTACTAGTATTTGTGTGTTGTGTGTGTGATTTTGACTAAATTTATTCCGAACGGTGCTCAAAATAATTTGACACTTTGTTATTTTCGAACGCAATTCACACTATGACCCTTACTCAATTTGCATAAGTAATACGAATGCTGTAGTTCAGAAAATCTATTGGTTAACTTTTGCTCGTGTCTGGGTGCGCAAAACAAAACTGCACATATAATTATCGCATAGCTGAATTTCTACAAATCAATTGGACTTAAACTACTAGTATAATGACTGTGACGAATTATTGGATTGGCAGCAGCCGGACGAAAAATGAAAGAGATCTCGGAACAGTTAATTTGTTGAGGAAAACAAAACAAACGCAGCCAGTGATACATTTTGAAAACAAAAATACAAAATAAACGCAATCAGAGGCGCCGACCACGCGCGTTGGAAATAAATAAAACGTGTTGTGACAGTCTCACCAAACTCTTTCACTCGCGCAATATACTTAATGTTATTTCCCAAAGCACTTATATTTAATACATTGACGAAAAACACCGCAAGAAAAATGTAAATCAGGCTTGTAATTACTAGTAACTACTCGAACACAATGTTGATCACTGTAAAAGTGGATAAATTCGAACCGTCATCAAATTCAAAATTCAAGCGATCTCGTTGAATGTCAAAAATAAACTCGATGTTTAGAAAGACAAAAACACCATATTAGAGTGCAAAAAAAGTTAGCAGCAAAGAACGAGAAGTGCATGTGGGAAAGCCATATCCCCGCGGAGTACTCGCTAAAACATGTGCCATTTCAAAGGGCACCCTTACAAATAATGTCTACGATTGTGTGAACATGATAACGTGCAAACAAGGAACAGAGCTTGTGGTCCACAAGGAAACTTAGCGATGACGCAGTTAGATGTATACGGCTGTTGAAAACAGAAACTCCTTCGATCTCATATAAGCAGGTTCACGTGGATGTATCATTTTCAACTATTACCAACAACGCTATGATAACAAAGACATTGTGAAATTCTTTTGTTTTTATGTAGAAAAATCATATTTATTAAAATTGTTGTTCATACATGAGTTGTTGAACACACTACATAGTTTGTAATTTCATCTAGCTCCTTTCAGTCACGATTCAAGACAAATAAAAGGCACAAATATAGATAATATAGCAAATTATTTTGTTCTGTAATATTCGTGTGTAATCAGTAATTATGAAAAAAAATTATGGGTACATATGAAATTCGTTATGAATTATTCTTAATATCAATTTCTAAATTATTTTGTCAAAATCAGTTTTTTTTCCAGGTTTTTCCCCCAAAACGAAAGAATTTCATAATGTCGGGAACGAGAAGTTTTTTTCTTATTATTATTTATTGGGAACGGAAAGTCTTTATCATAGTGCTTCGCCTCAGTTGACAATGAGCTCTTCGGGTCGCTAAAACTGTATGTCCACCTCTGTTAGGGTGAACATTTGTATTATTAGTCCCCGTTCGGACGCAGTCCGAAAACGGGGACTTATGTTTTGCCCTGTGTGCGTCCGTGATCACCTGTATCTCGAACATGCATGGACCGATTAAGTTCAAACTTCACTCATACATCACACATTATATGGGACATATGCACATGCATTTTTTTCATGATCCAATTAGCGATAGCCGAATATGCATCAAAATTGTACATTTTCACTATTCCGAACCCGGATCTCAGTTATGCATGGACGGATTTTGTTTAAATTTGGCCGACTGGTGGCCATTTTGTTTTAAAGAATTCAGTTCTGGATCCGTATCTGAGACATGCCTGGATTGATCGAGTTCAAACTTCACACACACAAGGTATGTGCATTTGTTTCATGATCTCATTAACGATAGCCAAATGGCGGCCGCTTTAAGGCCGAAAATGCATTGAAATCGCACATTTTCACCATTCCGGACCCGGATCTCAGTTATGCATGGATGGATTTTGTTCAAATTTGGTACATATATTAAACATAATAGCACCTTGATGCATGTAATTTTTTTTTCCGGACCAAGTTCGAAATATCCGACTGGCGGCCATTTTGTTTTAAAGAATTCAGTTCTGGATCCGTATCTGAGACATGCCTGGATTGATCGAGTTCAAACTTCACACACACAAGGTATGTGCATTTGTTTCATGATCTCATTAACGATAGCCAAATGGCGGCCGCTTTAAGGCCGAAAATGCATTGAAATCGCACATTTTCACCATTCCGAACCCGGATCTCAGTTATACATGGACGGATTTGGTACATACATTAAACATAATTGGACCTTGATGCACGTCATTTTTTTTTCGGATCTAGTTCTAAATGGCTGACTGGCGGCCATTTTGTTTTAAAGAATTCAGTTCTGGATCCGTATCCGAGACATGTCTGGATTGATCAAGTTCAAACTTCACACACACATGGTACATCATGTCACAAATAGATTTGTGCATTTGTTTCATGATCCACTTAACAATAGCTGAATGATGGCCATTTTAAGGCTGAAAATGCATCAAAATCACGTATTTTCACAATTCCGGAACCGGATCTCAGTTATGCATGGATGGATTTTGTTTGGTTTAGTTAGTACAATGTGTTGTACATATGCAGGTGCATTTCGGATCACTGAAAGTGGTCTGAGATTTCGGTCATGATCTGCTTTGATTGTATATGTCTCTCAAACGGAACGGGGACGTGTCATTGACAATGACTTGTTATACTGAATAAATCTTAGAACAGAAATGGTGGCACTCAATTATGGCAATCTTCCAGCTCATCGTTAGAAAGATTTTCGGTGGCAAATTTAATCTTGAAGGATTGCAGGAAATTGACCCTTACCGATTCATATTTATGAATTAATCGGGATTCAGGTATCATAGTGTTTGTAACAGGAAAAAAAAACGCTTTCGCATGGGATTTTTCATGCAAACATTGTGAATGGTTCCCCGACACTGATTCCTTTTTAACTTTCAATTTTTCTAAGACGCGGCAAACCCTGCTCATGACCAGAGACGTCGTCGAGATGCAGGTGCGATTCCTCTTAGCAACGCGTTCTATTTATTTCCAAAGCGTGTGGTCAGCGCCTTTCATTCACGTAATCTATCACTGGCAGCGTTTGTTTTGTCGCGTCTCACAACTTAATGTTCAAGCTGACTTTGTTTTGGCTGTAAGTGAACTACGTACAGCTCATGAAAGTATTTCGCCCAGAGTTCGCAAAAAACGGAATACCCTGCAAAATTTGAATCCTTTATTTTATAACGAGACATTGGGCGCAAAAATAAAAACCATAATTGTAATTCAACAGGTTTATGTAACGTGTTAGTCCGCTTGCCAGCCGCCCAGTTAAAAAACGCGATCTCCAGTGATGTCGGCTTCGACAACTTTGGACGCTGGCCGACATTACATTTGCAAGTATTGTATTTGTTTGACAAATTGTACACTACGGTCATTCTATAACAATCGATCAGTCGTTTTTTTCACAGTCTTACTATTCCTGCAGATATTCTTCAATTGTTATAGGTGCCACGGATTTTAACATAACTACAACTTGACCCGTGTTAAACCCAAACCATGCGTGCATGACAACCGTCACCCTACACATGGTTACTCAACGAATACCGTACTCTACAGTAGACATTTTTCGCTCTCCACCAAAAATAGAATGGTTTTATTTCATATTAGTTGTGTCTGTGTCAGTGTTATTTGATTTCACATGTTTGGTTCGATCTTGTTTATGGTGGACATTATTAATACGCGTATGTATTATTACCAATTTTATATGGCCGTGTGATCCACCGTATTTTTTTCAACGGTCGTTCTATAAATTTCTGATTGTATTTATTCTTATTTTAACATCATAAAAACAAAAATGATACACTTGTACATGAAACAGTAGGTAATGAACTGTAAATGCGGGCGGTTGCG